TTTTAATCACCCCACAGGAGAAAGCAAATGCGAAGTAGTAAAAATCATACCAATCCGCAAGCCCGGTAAGGATCCAACATTGCCTTCAAGCTACAGACCAATCAGCCTCCTTTCAGCGCTGAGCAAATTGTTCGAGAAACTCATTCTCAATCGTTTGCTCAAGTTTGTCGAGGAAAATAACATTCTCCTTCCGGAACAGTTTGGTTTCAGAAAGGGGCACTCCACCAATCACCAGCTAAATAGTGCGGGTGATGAATAACATCCGAAGTAACAAAGCTGTATCCAAGTCCACAGCCATGGCCTTGTTAGACGTTGAGAAAGCGTTTGATAATGTCTGGCACAATGGGCTTGTATTCAAGCTTTGTAACTTCAACTTTCCATTACATCTGGTTAAAATCACCCGTAACTACCTCCAGCAAAGGTCGTTTAAGGTATCGTTGAATGGTTGTCTTTCCGACACGTTTTTCATCGCAGCAGGAGTCCCGCAAGGCAGTCTGCTGGGCCCCTTGCTTTACAGCATTTACACTTCCGACATTCCTCCCCTTGGAGACGGTTGCGTGTTTTTCCTGTTCGCAGATGATACCGCAATAGCCGTCAAAGGAAGGATGCCTCGCGAAATAACAAACAAACTTCAACGATGCCTTAACGCCTTTGCTGATTATGCCACCACGTGGAAAATTAAAATCATTGCCTCCAAAACACAAGCGATCATGTTCCTCCATCGGCAATCGCCGAAACTGAAACCGGCTCCATCTTGTACTGTAATCATGGATAGCACAAGGGTTGAGTGGTCCGCCGAAGTAACCTATCTCGGGATGTTGTTCGATGAAAAGCTTCTCTTCCGTTCGCATGTGGAGAAAACAGTAGTCAAGTGTTCTGTCTTGGTTAGGTGTCTGTATCCGCTGATTTGCCGCAGATCCCGCCTCTCAAGGGTGAACGAACTGGCCGTCTACAAACAAATCATACTACCTGCGATCCTCAACGCAGCTCCGGTGTGAGAATTATGTGCACAGACTCACAGGAACAAAATCCAGGTCGCTCAGAATAGAGTGCTGAGAATGGTACTTGATCGTCCTTTCGACACTAGAATAACAAATCTACATGAAGAGGCAGACATTGCCAAAATAGATTCCAAAATTAACGAAATTAGCACCAAATTTACACAAAACAGTATTTTATCAGAACATGCTTTGATAAGCAATTTGTATATAGTAGATTAGGTGTATATAGTAGTTGTAGGTTAGTTGTAGTTGTAAATAGTAGTTATAAGTAGTCTCCTTTTTCAAATTTAAAACAAACCAATCCCACCAAGGTGGTCATTTTTAAAACAGGTTTGATAGGACTAGGAACTGTAATTGATAATAATTGAAATTACAAAGGAACTAAAGTTGAAAAGACGCATCTGTGTCACTTGATAAGTTATACATGTATACCACACAATACAAGAAATAAAGATCATTTAAAGTTAAAAAAGTCAAAAAGCCTCAACTCATTTTCGCTTCGGACGGCGTGGTGAGCAGACAGCAGAAGCAGCAATAGCAGTAGTAGGAAGGTAGTGGCAGGTTAGGTAGTCCACTCTTCTACCTAACAAGCAACAATGACTGGTCGTGGCAAAGGATGAAAAGGTCTTGGTAAAGAAGGCGCCAAGCGTCATCGCAAGGTTCTTCGTGATAACCGCAATCCGTCGTCTGGTTCGCCGTGGCGGTGTGAAACGTATCTCCGGTCTGATCTACCAGGTGTGCTGAAGGTGTTCCTGGAAAATGAGATCCGTGATGCTGTCACCTACACTGAACACGCCAAGCGTAAGCGGCCATGGATGTCATCTACGCTTTGAAGCGACAGAGAGGCACTCTGTACGGTTTCGGAGGTTAAATCATCACCAACTTTGGCATAAAAACGGCCTTTTTCAGGGCCAATAAGCTTATTACAGTAAAGAGTTGGAATAGAATTTATATGTGCCTGTTTGTCCATATTCAGAACCAAACGCCCCCAACGACCACACAAATGCTCTCCAGAGTTGTAATCTTGCAACCAAACTTAGAAGCAGGGGTGCAAGTGATTTTGATCGATTCTCTTCATCAATCTTCTCTTTGAAAAAAAAAAATGCTACAAATTTGGTACGCCCACAATTCAAAAACGGAAAGAGTTAAGATAATAGATGATCGATCAATTAAAAAGACTAAAAGCTCTTCACATTTTTTTTTTTTTTTTTTTCCTTTGGTTTGTTTTTTCCGTCGATCTTGTTTTCCGTGCTGAGCACCAATGCTACCGACGTGCCAGGAAGGCAGCTCCCACACCTGGACCCTACCTATCGACCCATCAACTCATGAACCGGGGACCAACGGCTTTACTTCCCATCCGAAGGAAGGCGTGATCAGAGATGTTATGCCTCAGAACATCCCGGCGGCGCCGACTGGTATTGAACCCAGGCCTGCTGGGGTGAGAGGTAATCACGCTTACCACTACACCACCGGCGCCGTTAACTCTTCACATTTGTTCCGTCCACTAGCGGTCCTACGTCAAGCTTCCGTTCGTGCCCCTAGGTACAGACCCTTCTACTTTTTTGTCTTGTCCCACCGTCACCCACCATAGCCGGTCGAACTCCAGACGAATCTTGAACCGAACTACTATTCATACTGGCGATAACGCTCTGATGAGACAACGAAAACCCACCCCTAAGCTCCTCCCCTGATCCTATCATTCGACAATGTACCCTTCTAACCTTGTATGTCTCTAACCTACTAGACATAGAATTAAGTGAATTTTGTAACAAACAGTGAACAATGAATTATCGGCTCCGTAAAGCTAACGCGATTGAAGCTTCCAAATAAACGAAATGTTTAAAAAATAGCTCCCTATCAGAATTCAAAATTTCCACACTCTGTGTTTTTACTGAAGGTACACTTGAGAGCGCTCAAACTATCTAACGGGTGTGTCATAAGTAGCGGGTCTAAATGAAAACACGTCCATACAATGTGCGTTTGAGGTGTGAAACTATTAGACAGATAGTGACCCTTCATATTCGATCTTGCTCAAGATTCCCGGAACCCTCGCCATCATGGTCTGGACCACCTTGAGGTCCACTTTTTTGGCACATCTGATGATACGGGATTTGAGTTGTTGAGCTGTGGTGGCTTCCCAATCATTTTCGTACACCGACTGGGACAGTATGGCCCAATACAACTCGATTGGCCGCGCCTGGAGTACGTTTGGGAGATTGTCTTCCTTACGTACAAACGGTATGTTATGGGCGGTAAACCAATCCAGAGTGGCCTATGCTTTCGGCACTTCCCCGGGATTTCCTGTAGCTGCTTCTCCGTGTACTTCGGTTTGGATGCTCGTTTGTAACGTTTCGCGCCCTCCGCCTGCAACGTATCGAACTTTTTGACCAGCTTCCTGATGCTGGCGCTAATCGTCCGCTTGGTGGCGCTTATTCTGCTCCGTCGGCCCGGTTTTTTGTTGTTGGCCATTGGCTCTTCAGCGTAGAAACGAGCGATCATCGATTTCTTATGACCCTCCGTCAAAAAGTGCCTCGCCACCTCCGATTTCGGATGCTGTCCAAGCATCCGAAAGACACGCTCCCGGAGCAAACTCTGTCCCGCGACCTTCATCGTAAACAAACGAAAACACACTGAGCACGAACAACGCCCACAAAGAGGAGAACTAAACCACACACCGCTGTTTGACTCTCTCTAGAACGTGTGGCGGAAAACGTGACATGAATATAGTCCCGCTTCTTATGACTCACTCGTTATTTTACGATGGGTTAGCTGAAAAGTTAACTGGATTTTCCGTTAGCATTCTATAATAACAAGTCAGTGCCAACATTTCAAAGGGGCGTAATTGCATTTGTAAACAATGGTTTTAGTCGTTGATTACTCGCGGTTGAAAGCTCACTCATAAAAATGAATGACACCAGCAGGTAGATAAATGTGTCCTGTACCAGCTAGCATTGGTAATTTGGAATGGTGGGCTTTTATTTGCGCTAAATCGACGGCTAAAGCCATTGTTTACAAAAGCAATTACGTCCCTTTGAAATGTTGGCACTGAAGTAATGAAAAAGTACAAAAAGTGCATACAAGTGTATCCGAGGCATCACTATGATTAAAATCAGTGGCGCAACTTGCGTGCAAGCTGATCTCCGACAATTTCACACCAAGTGAATCGTCGAAATATTGCCAAGACTACAAGTTGTGCAGCCTTGGCATGTTCGGACGAAGGTTGTATTTCATGATCCGCTAAGCCCCAGTGAGAGTAGTTTGTATGGTGTTGGCACCAAATATGTTGAAACTTGCATGTAAATTTTGGTGCAAGGTGGGAAACTACTTTTTTCAGAGAAATTATTCTATAGACCTATGAACATTATGTTGAAAGTAGTTATATAGTATATTGAGTGACTTATGAGCGATCAAAGGGAAAAAATAGCCATAAAGCTTTTTTCCACGAAAGCGCTTTGGGCCAGGTCCTGTGTTGAGCTGATTTTCTGCACAGAGCAGAAAGAAGCAAATTATGGATGAGGAGCAAACATTTGAGAACATTGTTGAAAAATGGGACAGCCTATTGTACATGCACAAAGTTTCACAGGAATCTGAGATGGTACTGCCATCCCCATACAATCCTTGGGATGAAATTGGTCATGGTTTGATGGCGTCGGATTATCGAACTGTGTATCAGTAAGCATTCAACTTGGATTCCCTGGGATCCAAACCATGTGGTATACCTTCGAGCCTACCTTACTGTGTTATCTATGTATAAATAGTTTGAATTACGCTCTTTCTCAGTGTTATCGTTGCTTTGAAACGATACCATGTCAGATGAAGGTCGAGTATTATCACTGCTAGAGAATGTGTGGAAAATTTAAGCTATCTTGTCTAGCAACTGAGTTCTATTTATGTTCAAGTTCAGGTTCGAGATCCTAAGCATACACAGTAAAACCTTTTTCTTCTTCTTCTTCTTCGCGACTAACATAGCGTTTGAAAAAAATCATCAGCAATACTCACTCTTCTAACCGATCGCCAAGGTCCTCCGATTTGTCCTTCTTGAGGCACTTGGTGAGATCGTCCTTGTTCAATCCTCGGCGGCATCCTTTGAAGAACAGCGGCAACAGCCAACCGAACGACAGCTGAGCCAGATAGAATGCCCCCTTGCGAGGATTCTTCTTTTCCGGCTTCCGCGTACTATCCATCGCCGTGCGTAAAACAATCACCACTAAACTGGAACGATCACTTAACTACTGCTACCGTTGTTTGGGTTAATTAGAGATTAGTCACTGTAAACTGCACTACACATCGTTGAGTATACTGTTTTCATTAGTTCGTTCTTTTTTTTTATTTCCGTTAGGCACACTAACTCATGTTGGTATCACTGCAATTGGTAATTCTTTGTCTGAAAACGATTCCTCACAGTCTCGTACGCATTGGGGGCATTGACAAATTCAAACTGATAACCTTCGTCGGAATTTTTTGTCACAAAGCGCTTTGAAGTCAACCCTACAATGTTTCATCGAAAGAAGGTTGAAATTAATCAAAAGTGCTTAGCTACCAGTTGGTTTTTAGCATTTATGATTTCCCGGTTTTGGGGAGAAAAAAATGCTGAGTGGAATAGAGGCAAAATAATAATGCAAACAATATGTGCTGGTCAGTTCCTGATAAGGATGATCCACACGTTTCTTGCTGTAGCCGGAGATTTGCAAACGCAAACACTGTTATCATATTCACGCTGACCTTGGTGGAGATACCATGTATTGTATGTATATGGTACTTATATGCTGTACACGATTATTTATGCATGTTTTATAGATGCAGCAGATCTTGTATTTATTTCAGTGCGTGATTAGATAAGTTACAAAATACTTTTTTGTAGTTTCATAAAAATAATCACAATTTTAATTATATTTATATCAAAATGACTTATACAAGGCCAAAAATAACATCAATTGAAAGACTGTGCTCCTCGGTTTCTTATGAACTTGAAAGTGTGCTCTGTTCAAGTCGTGTAGGGGACGATGGGGCATGACGACCACCCTTTGGATTATTGTTGCTATATAACAGATGAAACTTCAAAATGAACAACAAAGACAAACATTGTGTATGGCGCCACTGGCACTTGTTATTTTGTGTTTACGGAATTATTACATCATTTATCATGTAAAGGCAATGTTAGGAAAACACAAGTTTGTTCGATGTACTTAGAGAAAAAAATATGTGTTCTTTATATTTATGAGCTATTACAGAAGTTGCAGATAACATGTTACAGCTTGACCTGGGCTCGGGGTAAGACGGCCACTTTTGGATGGGATGTGTTATACCTCAAAAATGGAACTGAATGCAGTACTAAATGACAGTACAGATATGCCTCGATTATATGTACGCTCGATTTTAGGCACATTTTTTAAATATGATTTTTCGTTTTAATTTGGTTTAATTAAAAGGTTGGGAAAAGTTTGATAAGTATATTTTCATGCTTCAAAAGAGGGTTAACAATTACAGAACATTTACCATACATGATCTGAGTGCCTCCGACGCATACATAAGGTATGTTTTGGAATAGTAGATAACATTGGGTGTAAGCATTAATTTGTCGAAATCAACTCCGTTCTAATAGCGTAGTCAACAGCCTTTTAGGCGTATTCTAATGCATTGGAGCGAGTCTGCTGGGTGTTTCAGTGGTTGTACACTGAAGTCTTTTTTACACGGTTTTTTTACGCGGTTTTTTTACAAGGTTTTCCACGATTTACACGGTACTTTTTTAACGATTTCTCGACAACGATACAACCTATCGGCTTGATTCCAATCACATTATCCGTTTCAAACTATAGGTAATCGAATGGCATACTATAAAAAAAAAATACAATTTTTGGTGTAAATACAGAAATTTTTAATATATGTCTATATGAACCATATCATGCTTTAATTACAAATGGCATCAAAATCCGATGCGAAAAATCAAAATCTCGTTGGTTTTTTTACACGGTACGTATCCCCCGTGTAAAAAAGACCTGAGTGTATGTTGTCTGATGTCAAGTGTTAAAAGAGTGAAGTGTTAAGTCTGTACTGTTATTCATTTTGACGTTGGATAACGTCTTTCGGCAACATACAAAATTGAAAACATTCATTTTGGATGCGTTACGAAAAATTAAAAGATTTTGAACGATAATAACTCAACCGTCTCTCGATAGATTTACGAGATAATGGCATCAATCGATTGGAAATATTTCTAGCAATTTGCTGATTGTTTCAAAACTATTGATTTCATTCTGTAAACTATTGAAAAATGGTTAAAAGTAAACCATTGTCTAAAGATGGTGAAAATCGATTGATTTTTTTATATTCTTATACTTTCTCATACCGAGACATCAGATGCGAGTATCTGACACCTCTGATATTTTCTGTTCTACTATATAAGCGTCCAACAAGGTCGCCCGTTTCATCATTGTCTATCCGATCGTCGACCCAGCAGCAGAGCAGCAGAGCAGCAGTACCAGAGCAGCGGAAGCAGAGCAACGGCAGCAGAGCAGCGGCAGCAGAGCCTGGGGGCGAAAGGGCAACTACGCCGAGTGCGTTGGTGTCAGTGCTCCGGTATACTGGGCCGCCGTCATGGAATGCCCAGCTGCTGCAGTTCTCAGTCGGTCGTATTCACCGTCTGCTCCGCAAGGGCAACTACGCCGAGCGCGTTGGAAAAATGGCCCTTTTCAGGGCCACAACATTATCAAGAAAGAGTTTAACGATTAATTTTCTAATGCCTTTCCGACACTTGAATATCGAAAGTTGAATCTTCGCAGAGCCATAGATTCCATTTTTATTGCATTTCTACAAAACTTATTTCAGAATCGAACTCGTCTTCACAGACTGTGTGAAGAAGAACGATGCATCATTGAGCACAACCCGCTCCGTTCCAAAATCGTCCTCATTACAACCTCCAAAACAACCATTTACCCTCTCGACATCTCGAGTGGATTTCCCGGTTCATCATACCACCTAGCGCTGTTCTACTGATAGGTAATAATATTTACCCGGAGTTCACCGCACTCGTGGTTGAAGCAAAGCGCCCGGCATGCAAACCGCTCATCAAAATCGCCATCGCCATCCGGTACCCATGCTCGGCATAACCATCATTCCAAAACGACAACCAAAACGGCCCTCAGGGCCACCAATAATTCGACAAAGAGTTAGTTTTGAAGACAATTTCTTTCCAGAATATCACAGTTACACTTAAATTTGGGGACTATACTGGGGTGTGGGAACGCTGGAAGGGGAGATGATGTCTGTCTTCGAACTACCAACATCATTGAATATGTATCTTTCATTATTAAAGCGTTGGACAGTGGCAAGCACGTTGAAGTGCTATACACCGACTTCAGTAAAGCATTTGACCGCATCGACATACCATTATTAATCCTCAAATTGCAGAAAATAGGAATGGAGCCTGGAATTTTGAATTGGCTTCAATCATACCTAACACATCGTAAACAAATAGTTCGCTTTCAAAATAAACTTTCAGAACCAATTTCAGTCACCTCTGGGGTACCCCAGGGTTCTCATTTAGGCCCACTTCTTTTTATTTTGTACATAAACGACATTTCCTACATACTTAAAAAAATAAAATTGCTTGTATATGCAGACGACATGAAGCTCTTTATGGAAATAAGTAATTCTAGCGATGCAGAAGAATTCCAGAATGAAATCAATATATTCCACACCTGGTGTAGTAAAAGTCTACTTCAACTGAACGTTAAAAAATGTACTGCAATAGCATTTAGCAGAAAAATTGAAACACCGCATATTGAAATATCATTAGGCAACCAAATAGTAGAAAAAAGCAAAATTGTAAGAGATCTAGGTGTAATTCTAGACTCCAAACTAACTTTTATAGAACATTATAATACTATCATTAGTAAAGCAAACAGAATGCTAGGCTTCATCAAAAGGTTCAGTCATAATTTCGAAGACCCATACACTATTAAGCTTTTATATACCACATATGTAAGGCCAATTCTGGAATACTGCCACCTAGTATGGAATCCATACATTTCCATACACGAAGAACGCATAGAATCTGTCCAAAAACAATTCCTTTTATATGCTTTACGTAAATTGAATTGGACTGCATTTCCATTACCATCTTATGAAGCGCGCTGCATGCTCATCAATATACAAACACTTAAGGAGCGCCGCCAATTTGCAATGCTTTTCTTCATCAACGACATTATTTCAATGCGCATAGATTCGGCAGAAATTCTCGCACAATTAAATTTTTACACACCTTGTCGATATCTTAGAACAAGGTTGCAAAGACTCATTTCAGCTAAAATAATGTTTTTCGGAATAATAAAACCAAAAGATGGTATGATGGCATGTTTTACTTGTAACTTACAAGAAGAGGTTACAAAGTATGCGTTGGAAACATAAAACCTGTAAATTTTGCTTTCTATGAGTCACAATCAGCGATTTGCTGATCGCTGAGTGAGTGAGTGAGTGAGTGAGTGAGTTTGTGAAAAATCGCTGATTGTGACTCTCATGAAGTGAAATAAACAGGTTTAATATGTCAAACACATTCTTTGCAACCTCTTCTTGTATCCTACCAATTCAAAATTTGATCATGGCATCTAATTATTTCATAATTTAGAAAAACATTGTTTTAGCTGAAATGAGTCTTTGCAACCTTGTCTTAGAACACGGAATTTATTTTCAGAAACATCGTACAGAACAAACTATGCAAAAAATAGCCCAATCAATCGAATGATGCGCCTATATAATTTGCATTGCGGAACTATTGACATCACTATGTCCAAGCAGCAAATACAAACTAAGCTAAAACAGAATAGAATTAATGTATATAAGTAAACATTGTAATAATCATTGTATGTAGTCTACACTGGCTTGAAGAAATGGAAATAAATTCCAAAGCTCCTCCAGGGCGACAGAGTAGAGCAAACCCAACAACATCAGCCCAACAAAACGGCCCTTTTCAGGGCCGCCAAACTTTCGCAAAAGAGTTATTAAGGAATATTTCTAAAATATAATATACACAATTAAGTACAACACATAACAGACGTTATCCAACGCCAACCCTGCGGTCGTATCTAGTATACAACCCTTACAACTTTTTTCTTTGAACAATACGTATTCTGAGCGGCGCTGGTGGTGTAGTGGTAAGCGTGATAACCTCACACCCCAGCAGGCCTGGGTTCAATTCCAGTCGGCGCCGCCGGGATGTTCTGAGGCATAACATCTCTAATCACACCTTCCTTCGGAAAGGAAGTAAAGCCGTTGGTCCCCGGTTCATGAGTTGATGGGTCGATAGGTAGGGTCCAGGTGTGGGAGCTGCCTCCCTGGCGTCGGTAGCATTGGTGCTCAGCACGGAAA